TAAGTAAGTGACTACCGTTATAAATGAGTATTAAGGCACCGCCACCCAAACCCATGGACTCGGGAATCGTGACTCCCATACACAGTAACACAGATATCATAGAGTCGATGGCATTCCCGCCCTTCTCAAGAATTGCCCTAAAAGTCCATTCAATCAAATTTATGCAATTACTCACAATTTATGCAAACCGTACGAAAAGTATTCAAAATTGAATATAAAGTCATACTTTCCGATGGGAGCGCAGGGCTCGGAGTCCGTACTGATGGCATACTTATTATAGACACCTAAATAGGAGTCCGAGGTGTAGGAGCCGAGACAACTGCCGTCACACTCCGGAGGCATAGTAGTAGAGGGAGGCATAGTAGGCATAGTAGAGTTCTTTGAGCCATCGGGCTCTTTGAGGCCATAGTAGAGTCCAAAACCAATGCCCACTCCAATCACTATAACTATGATACCGGCGCCCAGAAAGACTTTCCACACCTTTTTGCTGAGAGAATAATGAGAATAATTGGTCACATCTTTGAGTTGCAAATCATTTAAGAGGTTAGCTCTCAGTTCATCCTTATATTCACCACTCATTTATCACAACTTTTATCGCAAAATCAACGATTTATATAGAAATAAATCAATTTATTTTGTATTGGGTTCTCATTAAAATTAATTTACTAATAAAATTTCTAGTGTTTAGTCATTAATTTGTGAATACAGTGAACACTTGAGGAATGCATTAGAAATATATACAGAATAATATAACACTACTGTATATGTGTTTGTTTTGAAACCACTTTTCAATCAAATTCAGTGCATTTTGACGTCAATTAGATATCCGATCAATGAATTTGTGTTTAACAAGCGCTTCATTTGAAGAATTGTATATATATTCTGTATTCTCACAAATTGAGTCCATATTAAGGCTTTTAGACAGGAAATTATATCAATATGGAGTGGCAGTAGTGCCGGGTCTACCGGTGTGTTGGGAATCCAACCACTACTCACTCAACACTTTCTCCAAATAAATTTTTATTATTTAAATAATTCCTAACTGAAAAGGATGATAGAAAAATTGTCATGCACATAATTAATTACATATACTGTGTCAAAACACATACCGGCTGCTCATTTCAAACTGATTGCAATTGATGTTTTGCCAGAATTT